GATACTTTTACTCCGTCACCAGAAATTTTGGCTTGCCTTCTTTGTTCTGCTAATTTTCTAGCTTCTTCTGAAATCCAAGGTGACTTTTTTTGGGCTTTTTTCTTCATTTGTAATGTTCTTTCAGCTTCTTCACTAAATGTGGTTTTGATATTGATCCATAACTCTTCAGGCTCTCTATCTCCTGTATCCAGAACTGCAAATCTATTGTTTAATTAATCCAGTAATTTTGTGTAATATTTTTCAATATCATATCTTGGAAGGTCTCTAATGATCTTTTGCTTGTGAAGCTTCCCTTGATCTTGCATGTCAAACGCTTGTGGTCGTTTCCACAATCAGCTCCTCGTTTAGCCTTTGCTGTCAAAACTGCAGGTTTCTACCTCTGTCCTATCCAGATGTAGTCAATTTGATTATGATGCATGCCATTTGGAGAGGTCCATGTGTATATCCGACGCCTGTGGTGCTGGAATTGTGTTTTCATGAGGGAGAGTTGGTTAGTTTCACAAAACTGTATGAAGTTATCACTTCATTTCTTTCTCCTAAGCTATACTTTCCAACCACTGCATCTTCGAATTTCCCCCATGAAGTTCCCCATGATGAAAGTAGATCTTGATTCACTGCTTGATCTATTGCACTTTGACGTTTTTCATAAAACAACTCTACATCCTCTTCTGCATCTGTTGTTGGAGCATACACTTGGATCAGGGTGACATTGTTTGGCCTTCCCTATAGATGGATTGAGATGACACTATCACTGATAGTATTGTATTTTAGTACCGTCTTTATTGTTGAGGATAAATGCCACACCATTTTTCTTATACACTTTGGTACCGGAGTAGCATATCCAATGTTAATTTGATTGAAAGTGGCCCTGCCCTGTCCATTTGTGTTCTCTGACTTCTAATAAATGGATGTTGGTTTTATCCTTTTCATCTTTAACAATTTCTAGTTTTCCTTGGTTCATACTATGTATGTACCATGTTCCTATGATGATAATATCTTTACAGCTGTTGATCTCATTTTTCTGTCCAGCTACATCAACATCAGGACATCCCGTAGGCTTTGATCCATCAGCTTCATAATTACCAGATTTACTGTTTGTGACCATCAGCTCTTCCCTAGTAGCATGATGAGTGCCTTTCCGACCTAGAGGACCATCTTTCAGCACTGTATGACAGTTCTCTTCATCAAGTTTTCTTGGCATAATACAGAAGTACATTTCTGGGCTATTCTTCTGCCTAAGTTTGATGTTGTCACTGCTGTCACGTCAAACATGTCCCCTAGAAGTAAATGAGAAATTACTCCTTGCAGGGAAGGGGGCAGCCCCACTGCATGAGATCATTTTTACGTTTCCCGGAATCGGGGTTTAAATTGTAGCAACAAGGTCACTTTAAGGTTTTCCTTTTTTTACTAACAACTTTGTGCAGTTAATTCCTTATAATATCATTGATGGACCTTACATATTCAGATTGTGCCTTCCCTGTTTAAATTGGTGTAAGACTGACGTGTTGTGTAATTTTCATATTAATTTGTGCTTCTGAACCCTGCAATAAAAACATGTCACAGATCCTAACCTTCCTCACTCTGTCCTCAATCTGTGTAAATCTTTATCTCGATGACTTCCAGGGTAGCTTTCATATAATGCACTTGTATCCAGGAGTAAACCACTATATAATGTATATCTTTCTTACATCATAACATGTTTCCATTGACAAGACCTTAGCTGAGATGTTATAATCTCATAGGGAAGCACCCCCCCCCCCCATTCCCTAGAAGGCAGTCTTCCAATAGTGTGGTATAAATAAACAAGATGTTAAATTATAAGGCTTGCCTGTGACTGTCAGATAAAAACTCATATGACCGCCCTTTCCCCTTTCCTTAGAAGGGAGTTTGCCAGTGGTATGGAACAAGCAAACTAGATATGAAATACTGGGATCTCCTGTGAGTGTCAGATGCAGCAGAAAACATTCACCAGTTAGTAATGGAAACGGGTATAGAAGCACAGTCCGCACATCTATTGTAATTCCCACAAGTGCAGCGCCATATGCTGAAGTGTAAACTAGTCATTTTTTAGTTCTCCATAACACAGTTTCCACAAGTAGTTTGTAAAGCAAGAGAAGTCTGCCGTCAGTTGTAGTCATAATAATTGCAGGTATTTCTCTCTGGCTGCAGAAACAATGTTCAATGTAGAATGGATCTAGTGTGGGTACAATTTGTACACTCATTTTCAATCCAAGTCATTTTGTCAGGATATTCAAACTTCATATGATATTAAAAAAAAAAAAAACTTTGCAGTGCATATCATCCAGGTTGATAGTGAGTGGTATCACCTACACTGCACTCGTTTGGTTGCTTCTAGGGCTTCTTCAGGGAAGCAGGTATGTCCTGTGACCTCTAAGGCCACCTTAAATATAGATATGTTCCTCCACTCCTACCACCTACCACATTCCTCTGGATTATTGGGCAACATAAATTATTCTACATGTGTTTACCTAGAAGGGGATCTCAAATAAAAGAACATATTTCCTTGCAGCCTTCTCCTAGAGGATCATTTTCAACAAATAATCATATTTTTTTTTCCAGAAAAAACATGTAAATTTATACCAAAAAAAACAAACAAAATATAGAAAAATATAATATATCAAAACTCCTCCACCATGGTGGGCATATCACCCCGCAAAAAAAACTATCTCAAATGAAAAAGCGAACAGGCCCAAACACTTGGCCATTGTACAAAAAGAAATTAAAACTACATTTATTAATGAATCCAGGAGGAGTTGTAGCCTTCAACCTAAATCCACTTGCTCTCTTTTTGTAATAATAGTAGATCAATTTCCCCACCCTTCCCATTATGAGAAATTCTAATAATGACCCAAATATGCAAACCCATCACATTTCCTTCATGATCAAACATAAAGTGGTTTGCTACTGGAGACATCAGATTATATATTTATATCATACTGGCATACTCCTAATACTGGCATACTCCTAATGAATCCAGGAGGAGTTGTAGCCTTCATCCTAAATCCACTTGCTCTCTTTTTGTAATAATAGTAGATCGATTTCCCCACCCTTCCCATTATGAGAAATTCTAATAATGACCCAAATATGCAAACCCATCACATTTCCTTCATGATCAAACATAAAGTGGTTTGCTACTGGAGACATCAAATTATATATTTATATCATACAAATGCTAATATAGTCTTTGTTTAAAGTGGAATTCCTGCTCAGCACTATGTTTAAAAATGTCCTCTCACCCCTGCTGCTACCTATGCTGCCTAACCTGTGTAAAAACATATATATACTTACCTATATTCAGCCTGCTCCAGTCCAGTCATGTGATCCCCTGCTTTTATACTTTAACCATTTTTGGGTCTTCCCCACACAAAGTGAATCACATTCACAGGGTAAGGTGTATATTACCCTTTGTGTAATACAATTGGTGGTCATTCTATAGTAAATTTTATTCTTTTTTTTAGCATTCCTTTTTTAACATTATACTCTTTCCTTCTTTAATAAAGGGCCAAAAATCACTGCCTCCACATCTCTTTACCTCCTGGAGGCCACTCTTATTCCCATTATCCCATTTTATGAACAAGCTTTTTACCAAGAGATAATCTAGAGAGGTTGCACCACTGTACATGATAATGAGACATTTGCCCACAAAATTCTTTGCTTCTATATCATCTGCGAGAAAATGCCAATGGGTTCTAACCACTTCTGAAAGAGTTAAAGATAACAAAGTGCTTGAAGGACAGCGGTGGCTGTCGCTAGGTTGTGGAAGTGTACTGTCCAGCTAGCAGAGTGTTAACCTGCAGTGCAGGAAAAGTGCAGCTGTTGACAGCAATTGACAGCTGTTAAATGGCTGCTGTGTACAGCTATGGAGTGATTGCATGGAGGCAAACAGAATATTAATGAGGCTTGGCGCTATGGTGAAGGATGGCTACATGACAGCCAGGAAGGAAAAACTCCATTGTGGGCATGCAAGGGTTAACATGTTCCATGGGAAGGAAGGAGCCAGCGGAAGCTGTCCAGAGAAGAGCGGAGTTCCCACCTGAGCATCGTCCAGTGAGGAAAGACAGGCAGAGCTGTCACAAGGTCTCACCCAGTCAGAGGAAGAGGATGGAACAGCAGTGCCATTTCCAGGTACCAAGGAGAGAGACTCACGTGGTGGGTGCAACAAGATCGTGGGGCATGTTCCATTCTACCAGCCAAGGTGGAATCCGTGTGGAGTTCGTGGAGCTGACGAAGTTGAGCGCTTGACTGACACAGGTGTAAGGCTGGTGTTGAGGGGCAAGCTAGCTCTTGGTACTGTCCAGGGGGCCAAACACCCATGTGTAGTTTGCTCTGTGTGCAAGAAGCTGACAGTGGGGATCTGGTTCTGGAGCCGGTGTGGACACTGTGGAGAACACAGAGATACAAGAGATGAGGACTTTAATGAGAGGGAGACAACCGAAAGGTCTCCACCTGAATGGTTCTGGGGAGGTCAGGAAATACAGGAGGAGGAAAAGCAAACATTTTCCTGTGTGGCAGAACCTTTGCCAGACACTAAAGAGGCAGTGCCTTTACCAGAGTGTGAGATGGAAGAAGAGGAGAAACACTTCATCCAAATACAGACAGACGCAGTTGGCTGCCAGCTTACAACTGAGTAAAGAGTACCAGGAGAGATGCTCTGATTTGTCACTCCTACGCACCTAGGTTAGGGCTCTAGCCCAAAGCAAGGCCCACCACCAGCTGATAAAGAGGGCCACTAACCCTTTTATCCTGCCAGGCAAATGGGTAGAAGACAAGGTGCCATGGTTTTTCCAGATGCAATGCATTGTTCAGAAAAGAGTGGCATTTGCAGGTTCATCTTTAAAGCGGAGCTCCACAGGGGGTATTTCTACTTTAAGTCTTCGTTCCACGCTCCCTGTTGAGGATTGGCACCTTCAGGCAGCAGGGGGATACCCGAATCTGACAGGTACCCCGCTCCCACTTCCGCTGCGATCGCCTAGGCCAGGGCTTGAAATTGCCACTCGCATGCTCGCCAATGGCGAGTGGAAATTATGGTGGGGGAGAGTGTGTCCCCAGGGACGTCTTGCTGAGCAGGCTCGGAGGTCAGGCCGGATCTGTCATTGGCAGGGAGTCGTCAGACTGCTCAATAGCTGAGCGCAGTGAAAGCAAAGCAAGGAGTGTGTGCTGTGCTCTCTGCCTCCCCCTAGAGCGCAGTACCCGGATCTGTGAGTGAACAACGAAGTACTGCAACTTTTTATGGGACATATGTCTGTGTGTCTGTGTGTATGTACATGTGTGTATCTGTACATGTGTCTGTGTACATGTATGTGTGTGTTTGTGTGTATGTACGTACATGTGTCTGTGTGTACATGTGTCTGTGTATGTATATACGTGTCTGTGCGTGTGTATTTCTGTGTATGTACATGTATCTGTGTGTATGCGTGTCTGTACGTGCCTGTGCATGTATACATGTGTCTGTATGTGTGTGTGTGTACATGTGTCTCTGTGCGCGTGTGTACATGTTTCTGTGTGTGTATGTACATGTCTGTGTGTATGCGTGTCTGTACGTGCCTGTGTATGTTTACATGTGTCTGTATGTGTGTGTGTGTGTACATGTTTCTGTGTGTGTGTGAATGTACATGTCTGCATGTGTGTACAGGTGTCTCTGTTTGTGTGTGTTTGTTCGTGGCGAGTAACTCATAAGGCCTGGCTAGTAGCTCAGGACTTGAAATTTTAAGCCCTGGCCTAGGTGATCGGAAGTGGAAGTTGTCTTCCCCCTTCCTTCCCCGTAGTCTTCTGGGACACGTGACAGGTCCCAGAAGACTACGGGACCATTCACAAAGCGCAGCGCTATTCGTGAATGCGCAGTGGGCCGCTGGCTGTGAAGCAGCAAGCTGTCATAGCTGGGTGCCCACACTGAAGATGCCGGGGACACAGGACGGCCAGTGAACCCAACCAGTGTGAGCACAACGTGGGGTCATGGGACAGGTAAGTGTCTGTTTTTTAAAAGTCAGCAGCTACTCCTTTTTTTTTTTTATTTTTACTGGACCTCCACTGGAGGACACTTCTAATTTAGAAACAGGGCAGATCTGATCAAGTGAGATCCTTGAACATCTGAGACTCAAGACAACTGGGTGGTCTAGGTCCCCCACCCTGAGTTCTTCTGAGCCAGAAGAAGCCTGGTCGTTTGCACCACAAATTTTATTATTTCAGTTGCTGCTTTAACGGAACTGTTGCTGTATGTGGGCAGAGACCACTCATATTTTTTCCAGAGTGTTTACAGAGGCCAGAAGAAAGTCTACAGTGGCCTTCACAATCAGCACTAGATTGTTCTATATGTTCTTCAGCTGTGCAGACTCTGATTATCCTACATTCTTTACCAGTGCTGTACACCTTTTCATCCTCTATGATCCTATGAGTGAGATCCATGGAGAAGTCAACTTATTTGCTGTTGGCAGTTGTTATACTGGACTGACTGCCATCCACTTGAGGCCCTTTAACCTTGGACTGAGTTAAGGGGACTTTATCTCATTGAGTGTCCGTGGGTGGAAACCCTCTACTCAATTTCCAGATCGCTGAAAAAAGATCATAAGCTCTTATGCCCTTGCAGGCTGCAGAGCCTGGCTCCGAAATTTTACTTGCAGAGACTGTTTGTTTCAACAGTTCCCCAATAACAATTCGCAAGGACATTGCCGCAACTCACACGCCCTCTCAACCTGTCCCCTCTCACACAGCTACCCCCTTATCCCCCCTCCCCCTCGACATAACCCGCAGGGACTTCGTCGCTGCTCAAACTCTCTCCAACCCCCTTCACCCTCACTCAGCTACCCCCTCATCACCCCTCTCCCACGGCCCCACCACTGCTCTGACCTCCTCTTCCACCCCACCCTACATTCCTCATACTGAAGCTCCCCCAACACTCCACACCCTTGACCTTACTACCATCGAGGAAGTCTCCAAGACCCTCTCTGATGCCCGCCTCACCACCTGCCCCCTCGACCCTATCCCCTCACAACTCCTACGACCTTCCTCCTCCTCCATCCTACGCTCCCTCACCCACATCTTCAATCTCTCCCTCTCCTCAGGCACTTTCCCCCTCCCCTCTGAAACATGCACACATCACCCCCATACTTAAAAGCCCTCCCTGGACCCCAATGACCCGAACAACCTCAGACCCATCTCCCTGCTCCCATTTACATCTAAACTCCTCGAGCGCCTAGTCTACACCCGCCTATGCTCTCACCTCAACGACAACAACCTCCTCGATCCCCTACAGTCCGGCTTCCGTCCCCTACACTCCACCGAAACTGCCTTACTCAAACTCTCCAACGACCTGCTAACCGCCAAAGCTAATGGACACTATTCAGTGCTCCTACTCCTTGACCTCTCTGCGGCCTTCGACACAGTCGACCACCCCCTCCTCCTCAAAAAACTACACTCCCTCGGCCTCAGAGATTCTGCTCTCTCCTGGATCTCATCCTACCTGTCACAACGCTCTTTCAGCGTTACCTATAATGCTACCACCTCCCCCTCACTCCCCCTCTCTGTTGGGGTCCCTCAAGGCTCTGTCCTCGGGCCCCTTCTCTTCTCCATCTATACCTCCTCCCTTGGCCAACTCATACACTCTCACGGCTTCAACTACCACCTCTATGCCGACGACACACAAATCTATCTCTCAACCCCCCACCTCACCCCCTTGTCTCAGCGCGAATCACACACCTACTGAGCGACATATCAGACTGGATGTCGCTCCACTTCCTTAAATTGAACCTCTCCAAAACCGAGTTTCTTGTCTTCCCCCCAGCCCGGACCCCACCCCCCATTGATTTCTCCGTCACATCCAACAACGCTACCATCAAACCCGCCCTGCAGGCCAGAGTACTGGGTGTCATTCTGGACTCCAACCTATCCTTCCAGCCCCAAGTCCAATCTTTAACAAACTCGTGCAGACTCCACCTCCGCAACATCGCCAAAATCCGCACGTTCCTAACCCCAGAAACCACTAAACAGCTCATCCACTCCCTCATCATATCACGACTCGACTACTGCAACTCCCTCCTCACTGGCCTGCCTCGCCGCTGGCTATCCCCTCTTCAGTCCATCCTGAACACGGCTGCCAGACTCATTCATCACCTTTCCAACCGCTCTGTCTCCGCCACCCCCCTCTGCCAATCCCTCCATTGGCTTCCGATTGCGCAACGGATCAAATTCAAAATCCTAACGCTGACGTACAAAGCTGTCCACCATACTGCCCCGAACTACATCACTGACCTAATATCCAAGTACCGCCCAGCACGCACACTCCGCTCCTCACAAGACCTCCTTCTCTCTAGTTCCCTGGTCTCCTCCTCCCATGCCCGCCTCCAGGACTTCTCCAGGGTGTCACCCATCCTCTGGAACTCCCTGCCCCAACCCATCAGTTTATCACCTACTCTCCTCTCCTTTAGGCGCACCCTGAAAACCCATCTCTTCAGGGAAGCCTACCCCACCCCCTGCTAACTTGCCTCCCTCCTCCACTCTTCCTACCACTCCATCCCCCACAGCTATTCCTCCTGTGCCACCACCCCCTCCCTCCTAGATTGTAAGCTCGAAAGAGCAGGGCCCTTGATCCCCTCATGTTTTGCATTGTATTGGTATTGTTCTGTCACATGTTCTGTCTCCCTTTGTAATGTACAGCGCTGAGCGAACTATTGGCGCTTTATAAATACTGTATAATAATAATAATAATAATAATAATAATAATAAGAAAATTCAGTTGTTGCTAAGGTAGAGTATCTAGTGTAGATAGAGAATATCCTATCTACCTACAAACCTTTCTTTTAGGGCTTTGAGAGACATGACGAATTAAGAGTTTTCCCCTAGGGGGCAGTTTTCATGTGAACCCTTACTGTTGGGATGTAAATACTAATGCTACAATGCTAGGTTACCTTTGCTAGTGGGAGGATTGCCTCTTTGGAGAGGATGCTCCCACTGTTGTAAAGATAGGTTGTTCATTCTGTTGTGTGATTCTTTCTTTCTTTTCCTGCAGGATTGCAAGAAAAGTGAGGTACACCCACTGTTATGTTGCCTTAAAATGTATATTGCTAGATAGAGTAGGATTTTAGTTAGCTGGTAGGAAAGTTGTTTACATGGGCCAGGGTGAGGCTCCCTTCTTGTAAATGTGTGTTATGTCACGCATACCTGCAAATAGTTAATTTCCCTAACCTCTCCTTGTTAGTTATGGGATACCACACACTCTTGGGTTCAAGATTAGTCAGCCTCTGAGGACAGGGCCTATTTTTTTTTTTTTTTGGGGGGGGTGAATGTAGCACCTCCTACTTATGGTGCTAGAAGGGAAAATGTAGCTTTTTGGCTCTGCTGTTAGACATGGAGACATAATTGTGCTTGTCTACTCTGCGTTCTTCAGCTGTCTCCCCCGTCTTTTCAGAACTTTCTGAAAACATAGTGAGCAGGAGATGGCAGAGTCTGAGCTGGCCCTATATATAAACCAATCTCTGGTTGAAAAGAATGATCAGCAGGGGGGGTGAGAGTGGTATATAAGGGTGAGTGCAGAGAGTAGCAGGGGCCTTCGTCTGCTGGAGACTGACCCAGCCTGGAAGTAATGTCAAACCTTCCAAGGCTTAGCAAAGGCCTAAAGGAGTTCCAGATGACTCTAGTTCACTAAGGAGCAGAATAGTATCCTCTAAAGTAGCAGGAACATCAGAGCAAAATCTGGAGAGGATCTTTCTAGGAACCTTGTGTCAGAGTCAGCTGAAGTGAGGGAGATCTTCAGTCTGCACAGATCACAGTGAGTAGGCAGCAAAGAATCCTGAGAGAGTGACTGTTGTTTGTGCACCCTTTCTGAATAGAGGGACTGTTCCAGACCTAGCTGCCAGGGCTGCATCTTAGAGGAAGCCCCCCTGTACTAAAAGCTGTTGCTTCCCTTTTTGTGGAGGAAACTCTACTTTGTAGATTTCATCTGTTTCAAGATGGTGTCCTCAGCCAAGTTCTCTAGTTTCAGGCATCCCAAAGGTTTTTCCAATTCCTATCCCAGTTCTACCAAACAAATAAAAAACAACAAAAAAGAACAACTGCCTGGTCACTGTCTGAGGATTGAATGAGATTTAACACCCCTAGATCAGAATACCTTGTGCCTAAGTACTTGTACCATCAAAGTAATACTGCACCCAGGACCCTGCATTCACTATATCTGGTCTTCCACAGTACACAGAACATTGAAATGCAATTATGTTAGTAAATATAAACTGCTAAATAACTAATAAGCAGTATATAGTAGTCTTTTGACTTCTATCAGTGTCCGGCGAGCACTGGTTAATCTTGTAGGAGTTTCCATTCTCCTCTGACTGTCCTATGAGGCTGCATGACCCCTGACCCTCTGTTCAAACAGCACTGATTGGCCCTGTGCTGATCATATGCACCCCCCCCCCCAAAAAAAAAACTCTCTAGCAATACATACACATCAAACAGGGCATGTGCAGACTTGCCACTGCTGCTCTGTACTATGGCAAATGGATTGGGGACAGTAAAAGAAGGGGAGGATCAGATGAGACAGAATCAAACATCCTTTTTACACAATGCGGAGGATTAACCCCTTAGATTCCAGAGTATAACAAGCATGCTTTACTGCATATATAGACTGATTTTACTATTGTGGGTTTAGTAACACTTTAAGGCAGTGGACTCCAAACTG